CATATTTTTCTACTGCTATTTATATCAAATAAACTGACCACTTTATACATCTCTACTGCCATTTTCAATACTGACCATTCAATATATATACTGCTCATCTCCATACTTTTTTACTGACCATTCATTTATTTTACCGACCGCTTATTATATTCCCAATCTGTTCTGGTTACAGAATAGAAGAACCCGTGGCATCAGAACCGCTAAAATACCGCCGGTTACCGCCGAGTATAATGGGCTGTTAACCTAATGGACATGTGAAATTACCGCACGGTCTATCGAAACGCGCGATATATCGGTCGGTTGTATCGGCGGTATCAACCGGTATTTTGCCAGTGTGAGCCAACAGTACAGGAGTTCGAATCTAGTTCTCAGCTTACTTCTTTTTTCAGTGCGCATGCAGGACAATGAGGTTTCGGAACGGGAAATTTCATCACATGCTTTTAAAGTGCTGAAAAAGGAAATAAAATATAAATTTTAGTCTGTGGGCTTTTGGAAAATCTTTAGAAAAGCATTATAAATATTCCGGTGAAAAATGAATGCCCGATAGGATCCTCATCGTGGAATAAATTACCCGCTTTCACGGCTTTGCAGAAAGTATTTCTAATGTCAAGGGATCCTAGGACACTTTTGTCACTATCATATATATATGAACTTGTAGCACCAGAAATTCTCTATCGATTAGTATATCTATCGATGTGGCTAGATGGGAAGCGTTCATCATAGGATCCTCAGGATGAAATAAGTCAGCCGCTTTTCACGGTTTTACAGAAAGCATTTCTAATGTCAAGATGCCCTAGGACACTTTTGTCACTATGTTATATACATGAAATTGTAGCGCAAGGAATTGTCTATCGATTGGTATATCTATCGTAGTGGCTAGTTGAGAAACGTTGATCATAGGATGCTCACCGTGGATACAAGTTCATATATATATATGATAGTGACAAAAGTGTCCTAGGATCCCTTGACATTAGAAATATTTTCTGCAAAGCCGTGAAAGCGGGTAACTTATTCCACGGTGAGGATCCTATGATCAACGTTTCTCAACTAGCCACTACGATAGATATATCATTCAATAGAGAATTTCATGAGTTTCAAAATGAGCTATAAATAAATCTTTCAGAAATATGTCTAGAATTAGTTATGTTTTATTAAATAGCGGGTATATTATCGTTTTGGAACCGCGACATGTTGATAGAGAAGCTTCAAAAATATGTTGAAAGTTCATGATACAGGTCACAAAGCTTAATAATCATTACCTGATTAAGACTATAACTCTGTAACGCAGACCATTTTTCCACAACGATAATATACCCGCTATTTAATAAAACATAACTAATTCTGTATTATCTTATCTGTAACGAGGTTATTATTTTTATGTGTTATGAGTTTTAAGAAAATTTTTACATCAATTGATAGCCAGGAGTCGACTCTATTTACTTGTAAATATCGCTTTTTTCGGATAAAAATTCAGCGAACTATAGCAGAAACACGAGGAAATTTTGAGGACCTGACCATAATTACCCCAAGGCACTCTATCTGTTTTATTGCTAGTTTATTTTCATTAAACAGCTCCATCAGATAAAATAGGACAAAGTGAACAAGAACATAAGTAGTTGCACTGTGTATATCTGATAGTGCTGATGGAGGAGAAGGTGGTGATAATGCGCTAAAGAGTTATTATCATAACTTAAGCCATTTAAGCTGAATATATGAGGCAGTGCACGATAGGGACAAACAAAGTTGCTCAATGAACTCTCACAGATTTTTCTCAAATTATCAGAGCAGATAGAGAAATGTGTCCTGAACATTTTTGTCTCTTGATATTTTTTCCAAAATGCTTTCCCTTGTCGCTAGAGCGCTTGCAAAAAAGGTCGTAAAATACGGAAAAAAAGCGATTTTCCAGTCGAAAATTTTGCTTATGCTATAACTCCGTCAAATCAAATGCTAATGAGCTTACATTATTTCTTTTAGTATTTCTTTATTTCTTCACTTTTTTCGGTGTTGCATTAGCATAAGCTAGCCTTTCTTTGCAACAACCATGTTTGCAAAAATAAAAATTCAGTTCAGTTCAGTACATAATTACCCCAAAGCATATATACTGAAAAAATGACTGTCTCTTTTAATTTTCGTAATTTCTCATTAATTAATTTAAGTCAAGTCCGAATGATGTGCAATTCACATGAGAAATACAATAATTAGCGCAGTATAACTTATGGTTAACTGAACTTGGTACTGTTTCACAAACTACAACCAGAATAGTTTGTGTACCAAAATCCAGTTCTGATTTATCGCCTTTACCACTATAAAAATAAAATCATAACATATGCCACTTTGATCACCAGCTAAAACAAACATTTGTAACCCCAACGATTGGGTTTATTTTGCATATGTTACTTCATAATACTTCCTTTAAAAGGTATTACTTGTTCATTGGCGCTTAAATTCTCTCATTTTGGAATTTTGGTGAAGTTTTGCTTCACAATATTTTGCACGCTAATTTCAAGTGTATGTGTATAGAACGTTATTTCTCCTTAAAGATAAAATAAGGAAAGGCAGAATTTGAATTTTGTATTGACATATCATTTATTCTATGTTCGAAAGAAGCACTGCTGCCTATGAGTTTATTGTATACTTTGCCAACTTCGCGAACTGAAACTAGGATAATTAGAGAGGTCCCTTTTCTACTTTTTATACCACTTTGAAGTATACAAGTTGTACTATATACTGGTATATGGTCAAGAAAAAGGTCTTTTAGGCATATGTTATGTTAAAGTTTAACTTCTGTATTATTCATGTTTCAAGAATTTGTTAAAATAGAAGTGAATGAGCTAGCTATAGGACAAGTATAACTAGATTCTGTAATCATATAAAATGAAGACAAATTTTTTCTCAAGTTGTTTATCCCACGTATTATAAGTGATCACTTTTATGTCCAGTTTGAACATAGCTGTTAACTGGTACGGCAGGTCTATAGTATAACAACGAATAGTAACGACTTAACATACCAATATCACACCTGCATAGTTTCACATGTTTACAGTATCATAGCATCACCTTCATAGTTTCATAGTATCATACCATCACTTTCATAGTCGACTATCAGACGAGGGGAGGGGGCGATAGCATGAACATGAGGTACAACACAACATTGCACTATTTGTTCTTGGATGCCGGAAATGAAACTATGAAGCTCGTATTTATACTGTGAAACTATGATGATTCAGTATTGCTGTGATAAGTCGATTCTATGAATTCATGGTTATACTATTTTAATTTATTGTCTTGATATTAGCAGTTATTCGGAAGCTACACGAGCAAGCAAAGTTAGTAAACCTTAAAGGGTTTAGGAAAATAAAACTATACAGAAGAAATAAGAGTCAGGAAAACTACTAAATCCTCCCCTAAAATCTTTTTTAACGAAAACTCTTAAACCCTGATTCTTTCTGTGTAGTTTCATTTTCCCTAAACCTTTTGAGGTTTTTTAAACTACGCTTTTTCTAGAGTGCATTCTCAAAAATAGTAAATACAGCACTCGCTTTTATGACACTTTTCTATCACGTAATTAATTATGTGCTCTATTGCCTTTTCTTCCCGTTGACCATAGGATGCTGTTTATTTAATCACATTAAGAAAATGTATCCCACTGCTGAATAAAGAAAACATAAAATATTTCAATGCTACTAATTTATTTGACAAAATTATTATGATGTGAATGTCCTTTTCTAACATATTCGTAAATAGCAAATGATATTGATACAGCAGGCACAATTTTCAATGTATTCAATATTAAACCACGATAAAATCCCAGAATACCTTCAGTACGCCATATGTCGATGGCTATTTTTCGAACACGTACATCTTCTTTGACGTCATGTATCTGTGCTATAGCTTTAAAGAAAACAAAAAGCGAAAGTAAATAAAATTTTCTTCTCCTAGTGGTCAAGTAGTCGTTACACTGAAAGTCGGTCAAAGTGCAAAACAACTTCTTTAAGCTCCACATCAATTCTGGAGGAACATTAGTGACCTACGAATATTAGGTTTTTCTAATTAGGGCCATAGACTGGAACGTTGCTAGAAACAGCTCATGGCATTCTACGCAGTTGTGATTTTAAAACAGATTACTGTTTTTTCCCTCTACTCAACCAGTTTGTCGTGGGGTACTTCGAGAGCTCGAAAATATGCTTTTGATGGGACTTCGCCGAGGACTCGGACCCTCGATATAAGCTTTCGAGGAGTATCAATTTCGAGCCCTCAGATTTCAGATAGGTAGCGATCCGTCAAACAGAGATGTTCGGGACTTCCGAGATCTCGCGCCCCGAGGGTGCACGAGATCTCGAAAGTCCCGAACATTGCAATTTCGGGCGATGAGGGCCCGGAAGTCTCGAAGATCTCTGTTCAACGGCTCGCTACCTATCTGAAATCGGAGGGCTCAAAATCGATATCCCTCGAAAGCTTATATCGAGAGTCTGAAATATCATTTTCAAGCCCTCGACGACGGTCTATTTTCGAACAGTCGGCGCACCCCCCGAACGACTTTTTTCATCTGCATGAGTAATACTGCAGTTTTTCTAATACGATCTGACGCTTTCCTTAGTGAATGTACTTGCTAGTCAGTACTTGTTTACCTGCGAATTTCCACAGGTACTTGACAAGTATTTCCAAAAATATTATTTGATAATTGTCTAAAAGCACTTGGCAGAGCCAGGTAATTGATTTACTTGTTAAATCTCCTACATGTACTTGGTATTTTTACTTGCAACAAAGCGCAAGAACATACGACAAAACTTGTGAGGGTACTAGATCAAGTGCCTGCGTGTAAGTACATTCACTAGGGTTGCCTGTGGACTGTCGAAAATGCAGATTCCAACAGATAAAAAAGTTAACAAAATCTCCCTTCTTCTTTTCTCTGTTCGCGAAACGGTAATGTCGTAAAAAGTAGCATATTCTATACGTGACATTGTAATTTTCCGATTTTTCTAATTAGACATAGAAAATTTGTTCAAATTAGGAATTAGACTGCAAACTGAAAGGATGCTCTCTCTTCAAGAGAAGGTAAATTAAATTTTCGCGAGAACATGCTCTAGACAGAAGACTTTAATCATATCTAGTTATTACTAATGTCACTCACGTTGTCCTTGTATTCTTGTTCGAATAAGTGCAATAGGATATATAGCAAATTGAGTAATCAGTGCAGTAATTGCACCGCAACCCATTACAATAAAGGCGGATGGTTCTTTATTTTTATGTGATTTCATATAGAATTGTTTTAATGTCTAAAAACAAGAAAATGAAAATAAAGACAATTACATCAGGCATCTGTCTTAGCATGAGGGTGAGCTACGAAACAACATTTCAATACTGCTTATTAGTGTGGAATCCATCAATCCACAGTTTACTAAAAAAGCATACACATGATATTGCATTTCCACATAACCTGACTTGACCTAACCTTGGATTGGAGTCTAGATATATACACAGATATAAGATGCGCATGTAAATTCTTAGAATGAGAATTATTAATGCCCATATAACCTGACTCGATCTAACCTAGGATGAAACCTTAATAGGTACATGGATGCAGGACTGGTATATTGAATGTGCATAAAGCATTAGAACCTCATAATACACCGAGAGAAACATGATTAGTAAGAAATCATTCGGCGACTGTTTTTGCGTTTTCTAAAGATCGGAAGGTGCCATGCACTCTCTTTAATTCATTCACCGATAATTGAAGGTTTGAGTTGAAAAGACATAGACGCACTGGCACTTGAAAAAGGAGAATAACACGAGATAAAAGTATGGAAAATCGATGGCTATACTTTCTCTCACCATTAACCCTTTACACCCACCGGTTCCTTCCAAGGGACGTTGATATAATAAATTTATAAAAAGAACGGGTCATCAGCCAAAAAGCTAGATTATTACTAATGTAAGACAATAGAGTAGCCTAACTTTTGATTGAAAGAAGAAAGAAAAATTTTCATCTTAATCCGATATTTCTGAATTTTAAAATTGAATGAAGTTCAGAAATGAATTTTGGTTTTTAAATATTTTCTATACTTGTAGCCACTAAACCATTTTTTAATTTTGTAGTTGATAGTTTTGGTTGTATGGATGTACTTTATAATGAAATCAAAGAAGAAATTTTTGTATTCTTCTTTGCGTAAAGGCGCGATGAATTCACTGTCCCTTGGAAGGGACATTCGGGTGTAACGACATGAAAAGTGAATTTTTTTATCTTGGCATCGTGTTAGCGTGGATCATTCTGTGATCACTCGCTACACATCTGAAGATGAGTGAATGAAGAAAAAAGATGTAACCAGTAATATTGTGCCGTCGCCGCCAAAGGTGAATGCGTTTTTCCCTGATCGATATAAAAAATCCATCTAAGTGCGTTTAAAATACTGAATAAAATTGAGACTCGTCTAAACTACTTCAGCTTTTTAAAAAGCAAGATGCGTCCGAACATACTTTTCTCTCACTGAGATAAAAAAGCTCGTTTAGAAGCGCCCTTAGGACCATCTTGATTTGAAAAACGCGTTCGGACACGATGTTTTTGGAAAAGTTAAAGAAAAATACGTCTGAACGTTTCTATCGAAAATTTTTCCAGTGAGTAAAGAATTGAAACTCATACTAGTATACTAGGGCAAAAAAGGAAGTTCAGAATAACAATGAAAAAAATACAAAATTCATGCCGTTACACCCGTATGTCCCTTCCAAGGGACATCATGTATCCACTCAACAAAGAAACATCACTTAAGTCCAGATATAACAAGGATGTACCGAAGAACTGTAAGCTTCAATGCAGTAATTATTTCAGCTGGAGCTATAATAAAAGTGTCTTCTGGTGTAAAGGGTTAACAATGTCTTTTTTATCATTTATCTTACTTCATAAACACTTCGATCAATACCATTAGCGGGTATAACAACTCCAAGCGTTAATAAATAGCCTCGATAAAAAGCTTTTGACCCTTCAGCACGATAAATTTTCTTTGCAGCATCAAACATATTACTAGATTCACTAGTACGTTGTAATATCAAACGAGTTTTTAATACCTAAAACGCAAATATTCATCATATCTTTCATCAGATTAACTCACTTCAATCAAATTTATCTATTTCTACAATACTTTGTACACTTCTAAAGCGGATAATATCGTGTCAGTAGTTTGTATATCGCTCCAGCACCATTCGGTCGCTTTTAGTCTTGATGCGACCCATATCGTGCTCGTGTTTCCTCTGTGCTTCCTTTCTGGGGCGGTGTAGTAACTAAGTGCTGGTCTATTTCAGGGTTTCCGATTGTTTTTAATCAGGGTGGGAAAATTGTTATGAGAGACTTTTTAAAAAGTTGGCGGATAGATTTTTCTAAACAAGTGAAGCATTCGTAAGATGAAAAGAACTTTTATAAAGTTAAATAAAGGGTAATAAAAGATCAGACAAATTTTAGGCACAATAACATTCCAAAAATCTGGCAGACAGTGCCAAAATTTACGGTAGGGATGCCCCCTATTTCCCTGCTCTAATCGGAAACCCTGGTCTCTATGATGTATTTTGTTCGAAAAAATCCGAACCCTTTCTGTGTAACCCTAAGATCGACTGAACGATTTATTGAATCTCTCTGAAGTTTTTCCATATTTGTTTTCATTCATCTTTTGAAACTCACTTCAAGTGGGTAAGTAAGTGTTATTGCTGTAACACCAGACATACCACCAGCAATAATTCTTTCATAACCAGTTGTTTCACCCTTTGTATTTTTACCTTGTAATTTCTTTAATAGTCTTTGAAACTATCAAATACAAACAATCAGTAATAATAATGTGTGCAATCGGTATGCTAGTTGTATAACCTCTTTGTAAGTAGCCATTTTAATTAGTGTGTCGGGCATGATTTTTATAATACCGAGTCCTACACAGACAAAATATTACTAACAGCAGAAAACTTACGAGGGAACATACGCAAGTGATAAATAGTTTTTGACATGAAATGTAGTGGGTTATAGGTTATCGAGGGTACTGAATTTGAATATCAACATGAGATGCGCTTGTGGTGCTTCTAGAGGCCGATTTCTGGAAAACAATTAGAACCTTTTCTTAATGAGCCATGTTTGTAGCCCGCACATTTCTGATTAAAATGAGACCTCTCCCAACTCTACATGACCTTTCTTTGCAAAGTTATAGAATTTACAAAAAAAGCCCTGAATTAATTTCTTCTTATTTCTCTAGCTTTGAGCTGTCGATGAATATTTAGGGCTTTCCTTGTAAATTCTATAACTTTGCAAAGAAAGGTCATGTAGAGTTGGAAGAGGTCTCATTTTAATCCGAAATGTGCGGGCTACAAACCGCAATACAAATTAAGAAAAGCTTTGGTTTTTTTTAGAGTTTCTGAAAAACTAGTTTTCCAGAAGCCGACCCCTAGAAGCACTATAAGCCCATCTCATGTTGATATTTAAATTCAGCACCCTCGATAACCTATAACCCACTACATTCCATGTCAAAAACGATTTATCACTTGCATGTTCCCTCGTTAGATATTCTTTTTCCAGTTACCATTTCCACGCCACAATGATTTGATTCCACCTTCGTTCAGCAGATATTTGTATCCATCTGTCACTCCAATTTTCTTTTGGGAACCCAAATACTACAAACAACTTTCAATTCGAGTTTTTCATACTCTAACGAGTTTCTTCAGCTTTGGGGTACAGAAAACTTCTCTAATCACCTGCATAATAACTTTAAGGCGATCAAATGGTGCAGTTGTTGTTTTTAAAATAGCCCCGGCAATTAAAGTTCGCAACCAGTAAATATCTACAAAAAAAAAGGAAGTCTAAGGATTGCCTTCTAACTTTTCTCTCTATTTACCTCTGTCTTCTGGTACAGTTAACGTTGACTCACCAAGATCGATTATGTGCTACAAACAAAACAAAGATGGAATGAATGTCGATTGAACAGCCAATAATTTCGATACCGCTACTGTTCGCCAATATTCTACTATATCACGAGGATCGTCTCCAATATTTAAAATGCGTGGATTCATTAAAAAGTATGAACGCCATTCATTCCACGATATTTCCAGCGAACCATCGGTATCGATTCTAATCGCCATCATCAACAATCAAACATCTTCTCATCGCTCATAAAGTCATTTATTCAACTTACTTTTCTATGAAATCTTTTGCTTCTGCAGGATCAATTTCGATACCAGCTCGTTTAAAATATGATATTAGTTCGCTAGCATCAAGTGCACCTTAACAGCGAAGAAAATGAAAACTGCTTTAATCTGTAAGGAATAGTACTATGTAGTTGATAATCAATTGACAAAAGTGTCCACTAGCCGTGCTTTCGATGACTTTTCCCAGGAGCATACTACGATCTCATAAACGTATAATTTTAATTATTCCAGTCAAAATCATTACGCTAATTCGGTCAGTTCTCCTAAATTTCGCCAACTTCTTACCTTCCGAGGATGAAAATTTCTTGGAAATACAGATGATTAATGGTAACCGATGATGCTGATACCAAATATTATAGCGGCGTGAGTCCTTAGGACTTTGGAGATCTTGTTTTCTAGCAAACGTGGTTTTTCAGTACGAAAACGTTATATCATTAAAAATCTGACTCCATCAGTTTGTAGAGCATGTCGAGAGCTGTATAAAAACTTGTGGAGCTCTATATTGGTTTAGATTTGATCACGTTATAACTTTTTGAAGTTTTCTTTTTGGAAGCCAAGATAATGATCTAATAGAGCTCAAATTTTTTTCATCGCGATATAGTCTACAAACTAGCAGGATCAGAGATTGATTTTAATGAAAAAAGCATTTACATTCAAAAGTCATATTTTCTGGAAAACAAGGTCACAACAGTCCTAAGGATTCAGACCACTATGATATTCGGGATCAACAACATTGGTTACCTATAACACAGTATGTTTGTACACGATTTTCAACCTTGGAACCTTTCCTAGGCAAGTACCAGTACCAATCACTATTGAAAATATTAGCCCAGTACATTTTGTATCCAATATATTGGACAAATAACCCAATATTATGGGATTTTTCTAATTTTTTCTAACATGGAAACATTCTCAGGTCACACGCCCCGTTTTCTGAAAAACCAGTTCCTTTCTTTGAAAAGTATATCCCTTTTTTTACTATTTTGATATACTCTGTCGACCAACGTGTGAATGGATGAAAACGTAGCGTGCCACCAGCGGCGTATCCAGGGGAGGGGCAAATGGACAATTGCCCATTCCATTTGGAGATATGCCCGTTGCAGTTTTTATTAGTAAGTTTTTGCCCATTGAAATTTTACTTAGCAGATATACCCATGCGGGTTTTTTTTTCTATAATCCTTAGAAAGATATATGTAGGAGTGCCTATAGACAGAATTGTTTGTTTATTTTTGAATTAGAATCTAATTCAAAAATTAAAAGAATCTCATTTCATTTTTTTGTGTTCTTTTTGGACC